ATCTAACTCACGTAATGATACCAATGCGTACAATAAAGCGAAAAAGCAAATTTCTTCTGCTCTGTGCCCCCCTCTGCCTCCGTTGTCTGTATCTCCTAACAACCAGCCAGCGCAGTCGGACAACGATGACAATTTCATACCTGTTGGCGCTAGGAATAGAAGAGCAAAGCGGAATGTGAATAACACTGTTGTTGGACGAAATGAAAGTCGCGTATTGGATATAATTGCCAATTTAAAGTGGGTACATTTGTCATATTTTAATACCACTGTTTCCTCTGAAAATATTATGAGCTACGTACATGAACACGCTGCTATTGATAAGAGCGATCTGAGATGCTATGCTTTAGTAAAGAAAGATGCCGAAATTAATGGACTTAGGAGAGTATCGTTCAAGCTTGGTGTAGCAAACAAATATTACGGCAAAATTTTCGACACATCGCTTTGGCAAGAGGATATTAGAGTACGTCCGTTCTTAAATTTTCCAAGAGAAGAAGAGAAATCGCAGCAGGCCTAGCGAATGCCAACGCTGTTAGTAATTCATATAATGCTGCAGAATTCCTTCTTTATTATCAAAATTCTGGTGGTATAAGAACAAAAATGCTTCCATTGTTGTTGTTTTCATCGTCGGCTCTCTATGATATCATAGTCTTAACAGAAACTTGGCTCTCTGAATGCCATCATACTGCAGAAATGTTCGATTGCCAAGTGTATAACGTATATCACAAAGACAGATGCCCGCGCACAACTGCTCTCTCTAAAGGCGGCGGTGTACTTGTTGCTGTTCGTTCGAGTCTACCCAGTAGGCAAATAACCCTGTCCTCTGTAATGAGTTCAGACCAGAGCCAGTTCGATATTGATCAAATTATTGTTAAAATCGTTATAGATAAATCGCATGAATTACACAGGTTTACAACAAAAAAAAAAATGTATGCATATTAAACCAAGCCTGTATATCCCGATGTTATTCGACACGCTGACTGCGAATCCGAAGTCCGTTAGTCTCCATCACGTCAGGTTCGTGGTCAGTTGAAGGTCAAGTAGGGAAAAATTCATTGAATAAATCTAAAAATTCAATAAAACTCCTCGGAATTTGACCTTGTCATGACCTCTAGATGACCTAGGATCAAGGGACCCCCATACTCAGTTTCAGCGACAACAAAAACAAAAATTTTTATTTTTATTTTTATTGAATAAATTTTTTGTCCTATTTGACCTTCAAATACTGACAGAGAATGTTGATGCTGATAATCGTCAATTTGCAAACGATATATGTGGCTTAAATTGGCGATTTTGCAAGGGTGGCATGAAGTGGGTGCTGCTTTACCGAAGGCATTATGTCTAATCCTAATCCTTCATTATACCTATTCATTAGTCGGGGAGTAAGTCGGACATACAAAATTGTCGTCCAATCTGCAAAATTTCAAGTATACCTAAACTTTTCGAAAAACTTGTCCATGATAGGATTGTTTTCCATATTTCTGGCCTCATATCGCCTTATCAGCACGGCTTCATTAAGGGAAGGTCCACTTCTTCAAACTTGGCCTTATTTTAAAATTTTATTTTATTTACGCCAACAATGCGATGTCATTTTCACCGCTTTCTTGAAATCCTTTGATAAGGTTAGTCACAAAATACTACTTAAAAAGCTGGAATCAATTGGACTTCATGCTAGCATAACACTAAGGCCCCTATTACGAGTGTCAACTGGCAGTAGAAAAGAAATTTGTCGATCGAGTCGATCCTCTTTTATTTTGCTATTGTGTAACTTGATCGATAAAAATTTGTACTATTGTGAATGGTTGACTGAATTGCAGAGAACGTATATTTATAGAGAAGGACCAAGAACGAATCAGCGTGGAAACTGTCAAATACCAACAAAACTGGCGAAGCGCATTTTAAGAGCGGCCAGCCAGAGACAATCGAATTTTAACAGAGCCCAGCCAGAGGCAAAGTAAATTTAACAGAAATTGTCTCATCAACGCAAATGCATATTTTTCTTGTTAGAAATGAAATGCTGATGGCTTTTTACGTTTTTACAACGCTTTTATTGTTCTTTAAATTGGTTAATTATTTAAAATAAATGCATGCATAGGTCGAAATGTGTAATATGTACATATTGTGTACATGCATATGTATGCGAGAGATACAATTTTGTGAATCTAAAATGTGAAAGTTATGCAATTGGCAAATTCGCTGGTGATTTGCCGTCGGCATTTGGGTTGAAAAAATCGACTTTTACTTTTTTACCGATTCATATGGTAGATGCTACGCTATTTTCAACGCAACAAACCGCAGTTTTCTAGCTGCCTTAGTTTTTCCCCAAATTCACTTTAAAGATGGACACGTTGACCAAAAAACGCAAATGCGCACTGTTTGGTGATTTGGTGTCGACATTAAAAGCGAAGCAAATCGGTTTTTATATATTTAACGATTCTAATGGTAATTTATAGACACGATATTTTCAATGCAACAAACTGCAGTTTTCTAGCTGCCTTAGTTTTCTCACAAATCCACTTCAAAGATGGATACATTGACAAAAAACGTACAAATACATTGATTGCACTGCACGTGTTAATATCAAAGTTGTTTTTGTCGAAAAGTTATTTATATTGAGGAAAACTGTGCATTATCATTTTTCACTGCTATACTCGTATTATATGTAAATAATGGGGCATATGCATAGTTAAAATAAAGCCGACACTAAAGTTAGTTACAGCTTTTTCATATCACTTTCTGTGGACTAGGCATCTGTGAAAAAAAGATGCATCTAACTTTCTTATTTGGGACTGACAAACTTAAACTTAGAGTAGACTTTATTTCATATACGAATAGGTATGCCCCAATAGTTTTGGAGTCCAATGAAAATGCATACGTATGTACATACGTACTCCATTAACTGATAGCGTTTTTACATGCATACATATATGATGTATGTATGTGCATATTACTGCCAAAATACTACGCACATACACACAAATGTACATATTTACAACTCATTGCACATAATTACACGCATACTCAAATACAACAATAACTATTTCTTTCATAATCGCATGCACGAATGTATTTCTCAAGGCCAAGTAAATTCATTCATAAAAATAACCGCAGCACATCACCCCGCAAATTCATCACCATCAAGCTCAACTTTTTCAATCCGACACGAAAATTCTAAAATCTTAAAATGAAGAAATCTCGGCCAGCCAAGTGAAAAGTGGCAACTATTTCTCTATATCCAGTAAAATAAGTTATCTCGAATTTTGGAAATTTTTGGTAATAGTTGGCAAAACACTCTATTTCTATGTTACATATCAATATTTCAATCATTAACTAGTTTTTGAGATGTAATTTTAATAAACATTAAATAAAAGTGTACGTTTTCTGCAGGAAAATAGATAATTTTTTTTTTTTTAATAAAATCAAAACTTCTAAAATCACAAAAATATGTGTTTTTATCGGAAGTTCACAGATGTAACGTGGCAACTTAGCTCGTTTTCATATTTTTCGGTCCGAAATTGTAAAATTTTTATCCATGCCGCGCCACAATTTTTGTACAGGTGGGTCAATGTGCCTTGAACAAATTTTATATATATACAAAAAAATGATTTTATTTATTTTTTAATATTAAAATTTTCTATACTTCAAAGCCTTTATAAAAATATATTTACATATATGCACGGACGATTTTTAATATTTTTCAACCAAATCTTCAGTACCATAAAAGTTTCAAACACATCAAAGTCCAAGCAATGCAATGTCCAAGCTAGTGGTACTCCACTGTACATGTGTATATGAAAGTATGCATGTATGCGTGTAAAAAGTGCCAATTCCAGTTAGTGTTTGACCCATTTTAGCGGACATAGTTTTTTTGGTTTCAGCTGGTTCCAACTGTTAATGAAGCACAATTTTTATGGTTAATCTTGATGAAAGTTTCATGTATCGTCGAGAACATGGTTACATGCAGAATTTTAAATTAATTAATATTATTCTCCATACAAAATTTACAAGTATTGCCCTATTAAATGCAAAGTTATGCGAAAATCTAAATATTTCGTAAACGTAGGGTTAATGGTTTCGCGCACGTGCCAATCTGGTGCCGATTCGCAGAAATTGAATAATTCCTGTAGATGGAAGCGGTATGTACATATGTACATTTATAAATGCATACATACTTCATACTACATTTTCATTTGTTTGTCTTTTTGGTTGCATGAAAAATTTGGTAGCGGAAATAGGTAATATCAATGAAATGCAGTTTACAAATATGTGCTTTATAAATTTAGGTTTATTAATTAATTAGATATGTAAATGACAATGTGGGGGACAAATATGCACATGAGTAGCGAAGGTGCCACCCATCGAATGGCAACTTCTTACACGACTTTATTAGAAAAGATTTGAAAACTGCATTATTTCCATAAATATAGAAAATATTGAAAAATTTCTCAAATAGTTTCGTCTTAGATAAGCGAGATTTTTACAAATTGTTGGGAAAATCCGACGTTTACAGATTTTTAGTATTTAAAAAAAAAAGTTCCCAAGTCGAAAATAATTAAAAACTTAATTATTTCCATAAATATCGGAAATACAAAAGAAAATCATACAGACTTTCGTCTTAGCTTAGGGAGATCTCTACAAAAAAATGGAAAATAATTCTTTTCACAGTTTTGTTTTTTTTTATTCAAAAAATTTCTAAGTCCAAAAGGTTCAAAAACTTCGTTATTTCCATAAATATCGAAAATTTGGAAAAAATTCTCAAATAGTTTCGGCCTAGTTTAGCGAGAGACCTTAAAAAAAATCTAAAATGATTTTTTTTTTTTATCCAATACCAATACAGTTTTTTACTTGAAAATATCACACAAATTGGAAAATGTTATATAATATTATCGATTTATTTTAACGTTATTTGTACAAATCACCGAAAAGAAATTGTTTTCCCTACAAATCTATTTACAAAAAAAGGCTTACACCAAAAAAGTTTTAAAGTTGAAAATCTAACAAAATATCACAAAAATTGAAAAAATTCTATATAACATTTTCGATTTATTTTCACGATATTTGTAGAAATAACCGGAAAAGAGGATTTTTTTTGGCAAAAAATGTTTTCACAAAAAATGCAAACACTTATGAGAGTTTTCTATTTGCAATCATTAAAAAAATATCACAAAAATCGGAAAATGTTATATAATATTTTCGATTTAATTGCATTTTACTTGTACAAATCAGCGAAAAAATTTAATTTTCTTACTAAAATAATTATTTTCACAAAAAATCTAACACTTTCCAAAGTATCACAAAATCCTCAATATTCATATTTAATTAACAGTCCAAACGATCTCGTGAGATTTAGCTCTGTTAATATTCTTCTTTTCTGCTTTGTATTTTGCTTTCGCTGTTAAGTATTCCAAATATTTGTCGCTCTTAAAATGCGTTTCGCCAGTTTAGTTGGCTCGAAAAATGTGG